GAGCTGCTCCCAGGTTGTGTAAGACTTTGGCCAGCAGGGGGGGACGCTGAGCTGAGGGGCCGAGAGCCTGATGGAAACACTGCACAGCCTCCTGGAAACACCTGAGCCGGCAGTAAGACACGCCCACTGACAGGAACAGCTCACCTGGTCCGCAGCAGAGAAACAGACTGATGTTAATGTGTTTATCAATCAACTGACTGACCAGCTGACTGATGAGAGTCCATCATGTGACAGGAAGTTCATATACATGGTAACAGTGAGACCACAGATGAGGACACACCTGTAACCTGCTGTCACTCTCCATATAAACACACAGTATGAAAGTACTCTCTGAACATGATGCAGTCACTGATGATTACCCAGAATCCCCGTCTCAGTGATGTTCTCCGTCAAACTCAGACACTCGGTTAATACGCTGACGATGTCATCACGGTTGAACTGATCTGATTGGATCATGTGACTTCCTGCCTCTTTGAGGGCATCAGCTGCAGAATCCAACATGGCTGCCACTCTGTAACTCTCTGCAGCCCGCAGGAAACCCTGAACTGCCAGAGACCAGTCCTGCAACACACACACACACACACACACACACGCACACACAGACACACACACACACACGCACACACAGACACACACACACACACTGACACTTAGACACACACACACACACACACACACACACACACACACACACACACACACACACACACGCACACACAGACACACACACACACACTGACACTTAGACACACACACACACACACACACACACACACACACACACGCACACACACACACACACACACGCAAACACACACACACACACACACGCAAACACACACACACACACACACACACGGTTCTGACTGTAGCTCTGGTTCTTGTAGTTCTGGTTCTTGTAGATCTGGTTCTGACTGTAGCTCTGGTTCTGGCTGTAGTTCTGGTTCTTGTAGATCTGGTTCTGACTGTAGCTCTGGTTCTGACTGTAGTTCTGGTTGTGACAGTAGTTCTGGTTCTGACTGTAATTCTGGTTCTGACAGTAGTTCAGGTTCTGACTGTAGCTCTGGTTCTTGTAGTTCTGGTTCTTGTAGTTCTGGTTCTGACTGTAGCTCTGGTTCTGACTGTAGTTCTGGTTCTTGTAGTTCTGGTTCTGACTGTAGCTCTGGTTCTGACTGTAGTTCTGGTTCTGACTGTAGTTCAGGTTCTGACTGTAATTCTGGTACTGACTGTAGTTCTGGTTCTGACTAGTTCTGGTTCTGACTGTAGTTCTGGTTCTGACTGTAGTTCTGGTTCTTGTAGTTCTGGTTCTGACTGTAGCTCTGGTTCTGACTCTAGTTCTGGTTGTGACTGTAGTTCAGGTTTTTACTGTAATTCAGGTCCTGACTGTAGTTCTGGTTCTTTTAGTTCTGGTTCTGACTGTAGTTCTGGTTCTGACAGTAGTTCAGGTTCTGACTGTAGTTCTGGTTCTGACTAGTTCTGACTGTAGTTCTGGTTCTTGTAGTTCTGGTTCCGACTGTAGTTCTGGTTCTTACTGTAGTTCAGGTTCTGAATAGTTCTGGTTCTGACTGTAGCTCTGGTTCTGACTGTAGCTCTGGTTATGACTGTAGTTCTGGTTCGGACTGTAGTTCAGGTTCTGACTGTAGTTCTGGTTCTGACTGTAGCTCTGGTTGTGACTGTAGTTCTGGTTGTGACTGTAGTTCAGGTTTTGACTGTAATTCTGGTTCTGACTGTAGTTCTGGTTCTTGTAGTTCTGGTTCTGACTGTAGTTCTGGTTCTGACAGTAGTTCAGGTTCTGACTGTAGTTCTGGTTCTGACTGTAGTTCTGGTTCTTGTAGTTCTGGTTCTGACTGTAGCTCTGGTTGTGACTGTAGTTCAGGTTCTGACTGTAGTTCAGGTTTTGACTGTAATTCTGGTTCTGACTGTAGTTCAGGTTCTGAATAGTTCTGGTTCTGACTGTAGCTCTGGTTCGGACTGTAGTTCAGGTTCTGAATAGTTCAGGTTCTGACTGTAGTTCAGGTTCTGACTGTAGCTCTGGTTCGGACTGTAGTTCAGATTCTGACTGTAGCTCTGGTTCTGACTGTAGTTCAGGTTCTGAATAGTTCAGGTTCTGACTGTAGCTCTGGTTCAGACTGTAGTTCAGGTTCTGACTGTAGCTCTGGTTCTGACTGTAGCTCTGGTTCTGACTGTAGTTCTGGTTCTGACCTGTACTCGACTGTAGCAGCGGCTCAGCTCCATGCAGGCGTCGCCCTCGCTGCGTCCATCTCCCTGCGACCTGTACAGCTGAGCCGCCTGCAGAAAGTAGATGGCAGCCTCTTTGTCCTGCCCCAGTGCATTGTGGGCCAAGCCCAGGTTGAACTGGAGGTCTGGAAGTCGGTTGGCTCTTGGACCGGGCTGAGCTTGCCGCAGGAAGTCCAGACCTTCCTGTGGCTGTCCGGTCTCCACATAGGCAGCTCCGAGGTTAAAGGAACAGGCCCGCTGGACCCGCCTGCCCTCTAGCTGAGGAGAGGAGCATGATGGGAAATTCAAAGCACTCAGACTACTGCACATGGCCTGACCCCCTGACCTCACCTGCCTTGACCCCCTGACCTCACCTGTCTTGACCCCCTGACCTCACCTGTCTTGACCCCTAACCTCACCTGTCTTGACCCCTGACCTCACCTGTCTTGACCCCTGACCTCACCTGTTGTGCAGCCTGCAGCGCAGTGTTGAAGCAGCTCATGGCGTCGGCGCTCCGTCCCTCCTGCAGAGCTCTGTGACCGGCCGACGTTAACTCCTCGATGTCCTCCACCTGAACCTCCTTCTTCCTCACCTCCTTCCTCCTCACCTCCTTCCTCCTCACCTCCTTCCTCCTCTTCACCTTCTCCTCATTCTCACTGGGAGGAGAATCATTGGACGCCATGCTGGATGAGGAGGAATCACCTGGACAGAGTCTGATGTAACACCTGATGAATCCAGTCAAAGCAACACCATGGAATTATTTGACCTTAAAAAACGTCAATAAAAGATTTTAATGAAATAACTTAATGATTGTTTGTATTAATTTATAAAAGGTGAATGTCAGAATAAACTACTCCTCCTGTCTGTGTCCAGTGTGCGAGCAGCGCCCTCTGCTGGAGGAGGCAGCACATGGCCGTCACATGAACTACACTAATTACACTCAGAAAGAAACAGAAAAACATGTTTCAATCAAATCTGAAGATCAGTTGGTCAACATTTATATTATTTTATATGATTACATTATATTATTATTTTACATTATATTATTATTTTATATGATTAAATATTATTATTTTACATTACATTATTATTTTATATTATATTATTTGATACTATTATTTTATATTATATCTTATTTCATGATACATTATTTTAGGATATTATGTTATAATTATAATAATTATTATTATTATCAGTGTGATTTGGACATTTAGTTGTTTCTTTAACACTTTAAAATATGATCTAATAAGAAGAAATAAAACTCAAACAGAAGAATAAAATTGATTTAAATTTCATCAAAGTGAATTCAGTTGGTTTTTCTCTGATAAGTGTTCGTGTTTGAGTGCTTTAAATGTAATGTTTACCTTTTTAATGAATCTTAAATATGTTCACAGATCATGAATAAGACGCACACACTTCAATGTTTCTGCAATGTTTTGAGTTTGGACTGCAGTACCCATTTTAAACACTAGGTGACAGAGTTACATCACCTCACTGTTTGTTAGCTTCTAATGCTAACGAGTCTTTAGCAGTGTTAGCTCACGGTACTCACTGTGAGCAGGTGTTGATCCTTCATCCTGAGCCGGTCGATGATTCAATACCTGACGTGTTTGATGAGGCAGCCCCTGCTATGACCAGACAGTGGAGTACACTGTAGGTCAGGACGTTTCCATGACAACATATAAACAAATACAAAAACATTTAAAGAAAAGAAGTTAAAAACAGAAAATCAAACCCGCAGAGGAGACGTCTTATTTCTTATTTTAGAATTTAATGTTTAAAAACAGCTACGGTGATGACTAAAGTTTGTGTTAACGGCCACAAAATACATAGACCACAATCCAATGCGGCAATGTTCCAGCCAATGGGAGAATTAGCTGTTAGTTGAGCCAATCAGAGAGCGGCGGGAGCTTTCAAACTTCAGACCGGAAACAGATCCGAGGGAGCGGCGGAGGATTCAACCTGAAGCCGGGAAAAGTTTGAGACGTTTTTCATCCTGAGAATATAAACTTTAGACATTAAACACTTTTATAAAAGCTTTTATCTTCACCGACAGAGAGGATTTAAACGACTTTTATTCAGTGGCGGGAAGAAGAGGAAGAGCCAACATGGCGGAGTCAGGAGGACAGAGTCGCTGTGAGTCAAACTAACTTTGTCTTCGTGTTGTTTGTATTTCATTTGATGAAGAATTACAGGTGAGTGTTTGTTTGTTACCTGCCGGGCTCACCTGCGGACTGTCTGTCACAAACTATTCAAGATGTTAGTGACTTTAGATCAGCTGTTTGATGATGACTGATTTATTGTTGTTTATGAGATGAGATGAGATTCAACTTTATTGTCATTACACATATACAAGTATAGAGTAACGAAATGAGGTTTGGCATCTCACCAGAAGTGCAAATAAGCAGAAAGTGCAAGAGTCTGTGCTATGTACAGTAATTACTAAATTTACAGATGTAGACTAAAAAAGTGAATTATTAAGTATATCTGGATGGCTGGATTAATGGGATGCTATAAATATAAATAAATACTATAAATAAGTAATGTTACAAAATAAGTGTATTCTTAGGATTATAATATACAGATTAAGATGCAGTGAGCATGCTATACTAATAATATACAGATTAAGGTGCAGTGAGCATGCTATACTAATAATATACAGATTAAGGTGCAGTGAGCATGTTATACTAATAATATACAGATTAAGATGCAGTGAGCATGCTATACTAATAATATACAGATTAAGGTGCAGTGAGCATGTTATACTAATAATATACAGATTAAGATGCAGTGAGCATGCTATACTAATAATATACAGATTCAGATGCAGTGAGCATGTTATACTAATAATATACAGATTAAGGTGCAGTGAGCATGCTATACTAATAATATACAGATTCAGATGCAGTGAGCATGTTATACTAATAATATACAGATTAAGATGCAGTGAGCATGCTATACTAATAATATACAGATTAAGATGCAGTGAGCATGCTATACTAATAATATACAGATTAAGATGCAGTGAGCATGCTATACTAATAATATACAGATTAAGGTGCAGTGAGCATGTTATACTAATAATATACAGATTAAGATGCAGTGAGCATGCTATACTAATAATATACAGATTAAGATGCAGTGAGCATGTTATACTAATAATATACAGATTAAGATGCAGTGAGCATGCTATACTAATAATATACAGATTAAGATGCAGTGAGCATGCTATACTAATAATATACAGATTAAGATGCAGTGAGCATGCTATACTAATAATATACAGATTAAGATGCAATGAGCATCTATACTAATAATATACAGATTAAGATGCAGTGAGCATGCTATACTAATAATATACAGATTAAGATGCAATGAGCATCTATACTAATAATATACAGATTAAGATGCAGTGAGCATCTATACTAATAATATACAGATTAAGATGCAGTGAGCATGCTATACTAATAATATACAGATTAAGGTGCAGTGAGCATGTTATACTAATAATATACAGATTAAGATGCAGTGAGCATGCTATACTAATAATATACAGATTAAGATGCAGTGAGCATGTTATACTAATAATATACAGATTAAGATGCAGTGAGCATGCTATACTAATAATATACAGATTAAGATGCAGTGAGCATGCTATACTAATAATATACAGATTAAGATGCAGTGAGCATGTTATACTAATAATATACAGATTAAGATGCAGTGAGCATGCTATACTAATAATATACAGATTAAGGTGCAGTGAGCATGCTATACTAGTTTACAGATAATATAAAGAATATGGACATAATATGAACATACTATAATACAATAATACAGATGGATGAGAGATGTGTGTGTGTGACCAGGAGGAGTGGTGGGGGGATGATGGGTGTGAGGTGATATGCAGGGGAAGGGGGGTCAGCAGGGGGCGGAGAGAGAGAGAGAGAGAGAGAGAGAGAGACAGAGTTCAGAGTTCGGGGGTAGAGTTCAGTAGAGAAACAGCTCTGGGGAAAAAGCTGTTCCTCAGTCTGCTGGTTCTGGTCCGGAGGCTTCTGAAGCGCCTGCCGGAGGGCAGGAGGGTAAACAGTCTGTGGGCAGGGTGGGAGGAGTCTTTAAGGATGCCATGAGCTCGCCGCAGACAGCGTTTTCTTTGGACATCCTCAATGGCAGGAAGTGGACACCTTGTGATGCGCTGGGCGGTTTTTACCACCCGCTGTAGCGCCTTACGGTCTGCGACAGAGCAGTTTCCGTACCAGACTGAGACACTGCTGGTCAGGATGCTCTCGATCACACAGCGGTAGAAGTTCATCAGTACAGCTGAAGACAGGTGGTGTCTCTTCAGTGTCCTCAGGAAAAAGAGGCTTTGATGAGCCTTCTTAACCAGACTGGAGGTGTTAGTGGACCAGGAGAGGTCCTCTGTGATGTGGGTCCCCAGGAACTTGAAGCTGGAGACACGTTCAACAGCCATCCCGTTGATGTGAATGGGGTTGTGCGTGCTTTCTCTTTCTCTCCTGAAGTCCACGATGAGCTCCTTCGTCTTGCTGGTGTTGAGGAGCAGGTTGTTGTCAGCACACCAGGCGGCCAGATGCTGTACCTCCTCCCTGTAGGCTGTGTCATCGTTGTTGCTGATGAGGCCAATCACCGCTGTATCGTCCGCAAACTTGATGATGGTGTTGGATCCATGTACAGGTCTGCAGTCGTGGGTGAAGAGGGAGTAGAGGAATGGGCTCAGCACACAGCCCTGTGGTACGCCTGTGTTGAGTGTGATGGTGGTGGAGCAGGTGTGTCCTGACCTAACATACTGGGGTCTGTTGGTCAGAAAGTCCATTATCCAGTGACGGAGGGAGGTGTTGAAGCCAGGTCTCCGAGTTTAGTGTTTAACTTGGAGGGATGACAGAGTTGAATGCTGAGCTAAAATCAACAAACAGCATTCGTGCGTATGTGTTGTTATTGTCCAGATGAGTGAGCACAGAGTGCAGCGCAGTGGACTGCATCCTCTGTACTCCTATTGCTGCGGTAGGCAAACTGGAATGGGTCCAGTGTGGGTGGGAGGCAGTTTTTCAGGTGTGCTAGGACCAGTCGCTCAAAGCACTTCATTATGATGGGTGTGAGTGCCAGGGCGGTAGTCGTTCAGGCCTGTCGGCTGGAGTGTTTCGGCACTGGGACAATGGAGGTGGCTTTGAAGCATGCTGCACAGCTGCTTGGGCGAGGGACAGGTTGAAGATGTCCGTAAAAACCCCAGTGAGCTGCTCCGCACATGCCCTAAGCACGCGCCCGGGGTGCCGTCTGGACCAGCAGCCTTTCGAGCGTTGATCCGGCTCAGTGCAGCGTGGACGTCTGTGGAGGTGAGTGAGAGGGGCTGGTTGTCTGCAGGAGGTCTGTCGTGGTCTGTGCTCTCTGTTGTCTCTATCGAAACGAGCATAAAAGTGATTTAGCTCGTTCAGGAAGGAGACATCTGTGGTTATCGGGGTGGAGTTTCTGGGTTTATAGTCACTGATGGCCTGGATGCCCTGCCACATGCGTCTGGGGTCGGAGTTGGAGAAGTGTTCCTCAACCTTCAGCTTGTAGCAGTGCTTGGCCTTGATGATGCCCCTCCTCAGGTTTGCCCTGGATACGCTGTAGGCCATTGCATCATCTGATCTGAAGGCGGTGTTGCGGCCTTCAGCAGGAGACGCACCTCCTTGTTCATCCATGGCTTCTGATTTGGGTACGTGGTGATCTGCTTCCATGTTGTAACACTGTCGATGGTGGTGTTGATATAATCCAGCACAGAAGAAGTGTAGGTGTCAATGTCTGTGTGAGAGCCCAAGGTAGCCTGAGAAGCAAACATACTCCAGTCTGTGTGATGGAACTTGTCCTGAAGTACAGAGTCTGTCCCGCTGGCCACACTTTAATCGTTGTCACTGATGGCTTCACACGTTGGATGAGTGGGAGTACTTGGGGATGAGGAACAAAGAAAGGTGGTCTGACTGTCCCAGGTGGGGGAGGGGTCGTGGTGTAGGCCCTGCGATGTTTGTGTAAAACATAGTCCAGAGTTTTGTTTCCTCTTGTATTGCAGGAAACATGCTGGTGAAATTTAGGGAGCACTGTCTTTAAGTTTGAGTGATTAAAATCACCTGCAACTATAAATGCAGCCTCCGGGTGAGCAGTCTGTTGTTTACTGATAGCGGTGTAAAGTTCCTTCATAGCAGCTTTAGCATCGGCATCAGGGGGGATGTAGGCTGCAGTTACAATAGTGGAGCTGAGCTCCCTTGGCTGATAGAAAGGTCTACATTTAACCATGAGAAACTCAATGTTAGCTGAGCAGTGTCTCCCAATAATGACAGAGTCTGTGCACCAAGCTTTGTTAATATAATCAGCAGACTATGACGTCACACACACCTCATGGAACAGGTGAAGTGTCTCAAAGCTTCAGCAAAGCTTTGTTAAAGTGTGTGTGTGTGTGTGTGTGTGTGTGTGTGTGTGTGTGTGTCAGATGAGCGTCTGACCGCAGAGCAGATGGACGAGCAGAGGATTCAGAGCGAGGCGTATCAGTACCTGTGCAGGTTGGAGGAGGCTAAGAGGTGAGTGACGTCATTCTCAGACTGTAGCATAAAGAGAGATCAAGATATCATTTAACCTGGATAGAGCTACTCACCTGGTCATATGTAATGTACTCACCTGGTCATATGTAATGTACTCACCTGGATATGACATCATATGTAATGTACTCACCTGGTCATATGTAATGTACTCACCTGGTCATATGTAATGTACTCACCTGGATATGACATCATATATAATGTACTCACCTGGGTATGATGTCATATGTAATGTACTCACCTGGATATGACGTCATGAGTAATGTACTCACCTGGATATGACGTCATATGTAATGTACTCACCTGGATATGACATCATATGTAATGTACTCACCTGGTCATATGTAATGTACTCACCTGGTCATATGTAATGTACTCACCTGGATATGACATCATATGTAATGTACTCACCTGGAAATGACATCATATGTAATGTACTCACCTGGTCATATGTAATGTACTCACCTGGATATGACATCATATGTAATGTACTCACCTGGTCATATGTAATGTACTCACCTGGAAATGACATCATATGTAATGTACTCACCTGGATATGACATCATATGTAATGTACTCACCTGGAAATGACATCATATGTAATGTACTCACCTGGATATGACATCATATGTAATGTACTCACCTGGTCATATGTAATGTACTCACCTGGTCATATGTAATGTACTCACTTGGAAATGACATCATATGTAATGTACTCACCTGGATATGACATCATATGTAATGTACTCACCTGGAAATTACATCATATGTAATGTACTCACCTGGTCATATGTAATGTACTCACCTGGTCATATGTAATGTACTCACCTGGATATGACATCATATATAATGTACTCACCTGGATATGACATCATATGTAATGTACTCACCTGGTCATATGTAATGTACTCACCTGGATATGACATCATATATAATGTACTCACCTGGATATGACATCATGAGTAATGTACTCACCTGGATATGACGTCATGAGTAATGTACTCACCTGGATATGACATCATATGTAATGTACTCACCTGGATATGACATCATATCTAATGTACTCACCTGGATATGACATCATATGTAATGTACTCACCTGGGTATGACATCACATGTAATGTCCTCACCTGGATATAACATCATATATAATGTACTCACCTGGGTATGACATCACATGTAATGTCCTCACCTGGATATAACATCATATATAATGTACTCACCTGGGTATGACATCACATGTAATGTACTCACCTGGATATAACATCATATATAATGTACTCACCTGGATATGACATCATATCTAATGTACTCACCTGGATATGATGTCATGAGTAATGTACTCACCTGGATATGACATCATATGTAATGTACTCACCTGGATATGACGTCATGAGTAATGTCCTCACCTGGATATAACATCATATATAATGTACTCACCTGGGTATGACATCACATGTAATGTACTCACCTGGATATAACATCATATATAATGTACTCACCTGGGTATGATGTCATATGTAATGTACTCACCTGGATATGACGTCATGAGTAATGTACTCACCTGGATATGACGTCATATGTAATGTACTCACCTGGGTATGACATCATATGTAATGTACTCACCTGGATATGACGTCATGAGTAATGTACTCACCTGGATATGACGTCATATGTAATGTACTCACCTGGGTATGACATCATATGTAATGTACTCACCTGGATATGACGTCATGAGTAATGTACTCACCTGGATATGACGTCATATGTAATGTACTCACCTGGGTATGACATCATATGTAATGTACTCACCTGGATATGACGTCATGAGTAATGTACTCACCTGGATATGACGTCATATGTAATGTACTCACCTGGAAATGACTGAGTGGTAGTATCGGACATCATCACATTTTTCATCACTTCCTGTTTCCTCAAACAGCTTGGTGACATCACTGTTTGTCTCTCCTCCTCAGGTGGATGGAGGCATGTCTGGGGGAGGAGCTACCTGCTCCCACTGAGATGGAGGAGGCGCTGAGGAATGGAGTTATCCTTGCCAAACTGGGTCATCGATTCGCACCGAACGCCGTCAGTGTGAAGAAGATCTATGACCCCGAGCAGCTGCGCTACAACGTAACACAAACACTATTTACACAATGACACACACACCTGTAAATCCACACAAAAGAGGGAGGAGCTTGAGAAACCCAACTGTGCAGTTAGTCAGAGTGTAGCAGTTTATATGACCGTGTGTGTGTGTGTGTGTGTGTGTGTGTGTGTGTGTGTGTGTGTGTGTGTGTGTGTGTGTGTGTGTGTGTGTGTGTGTGTGTGTGTGTGTGTGTGTGTGTGTGTGTGTGTGTGTGTGTGTGTGTGTGTGTGTGTGTGTGTGTCACAGGCCGTGGGGCTTCAGTTTCGCCATACTGACAACATCAACCACTGGAGGAACGCTTTGACATCTCTCGGACTGCCAACGGTCAGTGATTGGCTGGTGGATGTATCTGTAAGCTGATTGGTCAGCTGGTGGATGTATATGTAAGCTGATTGGTCAGCTGGTGGATGTATCTGTAAGCTGATTGATTGGTCAGCTGGTGGATGTATCTGTAAGCTGATTGGTCGGCTGGTGGATGTATCTGTAAGCTGATTGGTCTTCATGATTGTATTGGTCTCCTCAGATCTTCCATCCTGAAACTACAGACGTTTACGACAAGAAGAACATGCCACGAGCTGTTTACTGCATCCACGCTCTCAGGTCTGTAACCTGTCTGTCTGCAACCTGTCTGTCTGTAACCTGTGTGTGTGTCTGTCTGTCTGTCTGTCTGTCTGTCTGTCTGTCTGCAACCTGTCTGTCTGTAACCTGTGTGTCTGTCTGTCTGTCTGTCTGCAACCTGTCTCTCTGTCTGTCTGTAACCTGTCTGTCTGCATCCTGTCTGTCTGTAACCTGTCTGTCTGCATCCTGTCTGTCTGTAACCTGTCTGTCTGTCTGTAACCTGTATCTCTGTCTGTCTGTAAGCTGTCTGTCTGCAATCTGTCTGTCTGTAACCTGTCTGTCTGTCTCTCTCTGTCTGTAACCTGTCTGTCTGCAACCTGTCTCTCTGTCTGTCTGTAACCTGTCTGTCTGTCTGCAATCTGTCTGTAACCTGTCTCTCTGTCTGTCTGTAACCTGTCTGTCTGTCTGCAATCTGTCTGTCTGTAACCTGTCTGTCTGTCTGTCTGTAACCTGTCTGTCTGTAACCTGTCTGTCAGTAACCTGTCTGTCAGTAACCTGTCTGTCTGTAACCTGTCTGTCTGCAATCTGTCTGTCAGTAACCTGTCTGTCAGTAACCTGTCTCTTTGTCTGTCTGTAACCTGTCTGTCAGTAACCTGTCTGTCAGTAACCTGTCTCTTTGTCTGTCTGTAACCTGTCTGTCAGTAACCTGTCTGTCAGTAACCTGTCTCTTTGTCTGTCTGTCAGTAACCTGTCTGTCAGTAACCTGTCTGTCTGTAACCTGTCTGTCTGCAATCTGTCTCTCTGTGTCTGTAACCTGTCTGTCTGTAACCTGTCTGTCAGTAACCTGTCTGTCTGTAACCTGTCTGTCTGCAATCTGTCTCTCTTTGTCTGTAACCTGTCTGTCTGTAACCTGTCTGTCAGTAACCTGTCTGTCTGTAACCTGTCTGTCTGCAATCTGTCTCTCTGTGTCTGTAACCTGTCTGTCAGTAACCTGTCTGTCTCTCTGCAGTCTGTTTCTGTACAGACGGGGTTTGGCTCCACAGATTCAGGACTTGTTTGGAAAAGTCAAATTCACAGGTGAATATAAAGAATGTGCTGATGAATACCTGAAACAACATGTTTCCATGACAACATGTTTCCATGACAACATGTTTCCATGATAACAACATATAGACTTGGTGTTGTTGATGTGTTCAGAGGAGGAGATCAACAACATGAAGATGGAGTGGATAAATACGGGATCCAGATGCCGGCGTTCAACAAGATTGGAGGAATTCTGGCCAATGAGCTGTCAGTGGACGAGGCTGCAGGTACAGACACACAGCTGATACAAGCAGAAAGAGAGAGAGAGAGAGAGAGGAGCAAACTGGACAAGTCAGTGACCTGGTCTGTTTTTCCCCATCAGTCCATGCGGCGGTGATAGCCATTAACGAGGCGGGACAGTGGGCGTGTGGAGGTGACGGGTAGAGGCTCTGAAGAAGACCTACACGCACTCCTCACTGACCTGCAGGAGGCGCTGATGAGCGTCTACCAGGAAGATGCTGCATCAGGCCAGAAGAAGAAAAGAGGAGCAGGCAGCCCGCAGGGTGAGAGACACACGAATGATGGACCAATCAGAAGGCAGATCACTATAGACAGCTCACATGTGTGTGTGTGTGTGTGTGTGTGACAGGGCGGAGGTTCAGAGGAGAAGGATATCTACGAGGAGTTTCTGACTCAGAAGGAGATCCAGAAGAATATTGACATAGTGAACAGTGAGTTATCATAAAGCTCTAAAATCTGAACTTTACTTCAGTCAGATAATTCAGATTATTATAATTTATATTTGTTAGTTCGCTCAGCAGTGGAGCATGTGGATGAAGCTTTGGATTCTTCGGATGAACTCGCTCTGCTCGCCGCTCTGCAGCTCCATGTTTGTTCCTCAGGGCCTCCGTACTGACAACGGGCCCTGGTACCTGGATCAGCTGTTTGCAGACCGCCAGCAGAAGGCTCGGGTACACACAATTTATCACGCCTTGTTTCCGCTCATGAATGTGTATGAAACAGGTTCATGTTAATCTTTGTGATAATCTGTGAAGCTCCTCCCCCCTGTTATATTTCAGTCCTGAAACCTCGAGTGAAATTAAACTTTTGCCTTATGCTAGCTCAGCTAACAGGCAGCTAACGAGCTAAAAGGCTATCTCCTTTG